TAAATTAAAGAAGAATGCTACGTGTAATTATAAGATTTCGATACTCCTCTTCTTCAATAATATTTAATACTAATAAAAATTCTACTATATCTCAATACTTACCCATTAATGAATACATGGATGAAGGTTGTTTATTCACTGAACTGTTGCCGTTATTTTTATTATTATTGTTGCAACTGACATCGTCAAATATCTTCATAACATTCATTTTTTTCATTTTTAATATTTTATGAAACTTAAAAGTATGATATTTTGATGACCTTATCAAAATTATCACCCACTTAGTGCAAGAAAGTGTGATTTTGATAAATGACTAAATATATTCTTTGTTACTTGGTAAAGCAAAACTAATTAATTTCTTGATCATATTCTCAAAATTTAAAATCAGTCAATGAGAAACAATAACCTTGTGATCGTCATCGATGGTAGTTGAAGAGCTGTAGCTTTCTATCATGCAACCACTGTCAGATGTTGAAGAACATGTTAAGCCACATGTAGACGCGGAGCTGCGAATTGAGTCAAGCACCTTTTCGTCTGTTGACGTAGTCTGTTGTTCCTCGTTAACTGCCACAAATGACATGGATGTATTTCCGTTTCCATCCATGAAAGTATCTTGAAGCCGAATCATGTCATGAAGGTGACGTTGAAAACCTCGTGCTTGCTTCAATAAATGAAATTCAATAGGTAAAACATTAAAAATTTTTGCTACTGGGCAATATTAAAGAAATAATATAAAAAGTTTCATCTTTATCAAAAAAGTGCATTTAAATTGTAATTTCAAGCAAGCTAATAAGAAAAATTTTTTGGTGAATATTTCAAATTGACACCATTCGCGGGTCAGAGTTGTTTGCAAACGAAGCGTTCATTGTTTCGGGCACTGTTGATGATTTGATAATATTCTTTAAATAAGGCTTTTTTTAACTGCATCAAAAGAAAAGAATCATCAAATAGGAGGCATTTTTTTTATTACAACAATATTTATGAGCACAAAATGTTGGTAAAATGGTGCCAAGCATTTTAAAATATTTTATGCTAAAATTGAACAGATAAAAATGGGGAAAAAAAAAGGTGCTTTGGAACTGAATTAACAAGCTACCAAAGTACGTAACTTAACTTAAATGAGTCAAATCGACGTAGAAATGAAAATTTATAAATATTTACGATTGTTTCTAAAAATAATATCATTCCATAAATTTTACTCTTTATTAAATTGATAGTACTAATTCATGTAGCTTAAACGAACCATAAAAAATTGTTGCTCTTCATCAATTCCAGACAATTTCGATGCTTCTATTACAGGACTGATCAAACTTGTAACTGAAATAAACAGTGCCTTGAGAAAATTAGCTTTTATTTTGTTAAATAAACGTTGCTTTTTAAAATATTTACGGCATGGATCATTATTGCCGAGATTACAAAAAGAATGTACAACAACGGGTAAATTTTAGCAATGCAGTTATTGATGCATTTTTGATTAAATTGTGCTTCGATGTATTGTTTGTGGTGTAATTCTGTGCCAAACTTTTCATTTTGACTATAAATATGAAAGAAAAAGTGTGACTAAGTTTTCAACATAGAACACAAATTCGAAAAAATGGTTATGAATAAAGAACATAAGCTAGATTGTAAGTAAGACAGTAATTCAATCTGAATAAAATGATGTAAAAGTTAATCAAAAACATAATAAATTCAGTTCTACAAAGCAATTTAAATTTATAAAGGTTTCAAAGAGAATACCTTCTACATCAATTTCTCAAAATTTTCGACTTTGATTTTACAGAAAATTGAAAAACTCCCATATTTGGATGATTTTGACAGTTTCTGCGCAAAAAAAGTGTACTCATTATTTGATAAATCTTGAAATTATTAAACTATGTATTTCAGTGCAAAAACTGCTTATTCAAAGAGTGACTCCAAACATTGCATGTGTTATCTCATGCGGTTACAACGAACTGCAGGGAAAAAACCAAAAGCATACGCATGATAAGTATTATCAGTTCAAAACTGATCACAAACAAGAAGAAAACGAAAATTATAATTGACTGCAAGCAATAAGTGATATTAATTTTGATGGATCTGCGTAATAAAGTGAACCGAACAAGCAATAGAATGAAATCAGTGCTTTCTCACTGCAGCTACAAATACAGTATTGCTAAGTGGAAAACAACTTCAACTTCAATCAGTTTACAAATAAATAGTGACAAAGTTACAAAAACAGTCACACAACGAGTACCACATACGTTTGCCAGAATAGAGCGGTCTCAGATTAAGAGACGTTGGACGTGCTGAAAATTGAATCCACATCAAATTAATGTAAATGAATACAGAAGCAGCCCAAATTTGTATAATTATTTTTCATGAATAAATATCTGAAGCCAAATGAAGAATAAATTTTTCTTGTCAGAAACAAGAACAATATGTTTGCGAACGGCTTTTGATTACGTCATTTCATATAACAATACAATTTAACATTTGCTAATTAGCAGAACTGACTCTCATGAATATCACTAACCCGTTTACAGTTGTGCATTACAAAAACATTTTTTGCAAATATTGCACATTTTACAGAACGCTGAAATAAATTGATGCCCTTACCATCAGAAAAACGAAGTAAAAGGCATTTATATGCATTTTATCACGCATAAAAGAGATCAAAACTGGAAACGTTAGCTACTCAACACACTGGAAGTGCTTACGTTCAAGGATTTAGCATCTAAGTCTAATTTTTTGATAACATTATATAGTTTCAAGAATTGTAGCATTACTTAGTTGCAAGAAAGCTCCAACCAATGCACATAAAAAAAAGAAATGTGAAAATAAATGAAAGCTACCAACCACATTAACACTGCCACCAGAATTGAGATAAAATATGAAATTAATTGTAGTGACTATTTGATAAACTATAATGGCGTCGAAAGGGTTTATACAAATGATTTTTTCTACGCTGGCATAAAGATATTATATTAGTTGTATCAGTTAGCAGTGCAGTTAATATAGTAACTGCACTTGAATTTTAATTAAGCACGAACTACTCATTATTTTTTATTTACCCATGAAAGATGGAGAGGATGACATAGACATCTCTGTTGAATTTCCATTTTCATGAACTTCTCTTTTAGCATCTGACAGTCGATATTGCTGATGACGATTAAAAGTGTTAGCGCTGCTTGTGTAACCTGCCTAAATAAATGCACGTGAGTTGTATGAATTGCTCGCGCTAAAAATGTTTTTTTCTTTGTAAATACTTTAAACTTCATTCATTCTTAAAAATATAACAAAATAAAGTACAAATTTTATTTATTTCCTTACAAAATGTCTTTTCAAGTCACAAATGTGTTGCTCATTCTAAGACTTAGAATTAAAAATATTTACAGGTTTTTCAGTTGTGCTAGGCAAACTGGAAGCTCGTTTCATGCAATAATTTGGTGTTGCGCTAGTCAACGCATTCAGCCGATTCAGTCGCTCATGTCTGCAAACTCCTTGTGGCAACGATAAAACTTTAGATGCAAAAACATACTTTCAATAGAAATACCGTAATATTTTTAATAGATAAATGCAATAGTATGTACCGAATTAAACAGACATATTTAGAAGCAAGCAAAAACTTCCGAGTTATGAGCACAAAAGAATGAAGACCTGTTAAGCATACTACTAATTGCAACTTCTTGACGAAGTCGATCCAATTTTAGCATACTTTCTACTACTTGAATGCTTTTTGTGTATGCTTCGATATAATTTTCTTTGTGCTCTCTGAAATGTAAATTTGAAATATCAAATGTGTAAGTCAAAAAAGATCAAAAATTTGCATGTTCTTGCAGTGCCTTCAATATTTTGTAAATTCTTACAATATCTGCCCTACTAACACATATTTTTATTCTTACTTGCTGTTAGAGCAAGTTGATAACTCATCATCGGTATTTAAAGACTGCTGTGCTGCCATTCGTGCCAAAGACGCACGATTTTCAACATCGAATGATGACTGAAAGTTTGCGCTCAAACTATTAGAATTCAGTAATTAAGTAATTTCAAAGAGGTATTCATGTTTTGTTAACTAGTTTGATCCATTCTCCACCATCATATCACAGTCTAATTACTTCTAAAAGCAACCACAAATTACTAATTTTATATTTGAATTATTTTTTAATGGGCGTAGCATCAAATAAAATTTAAGGGTACAAGTTTGAAGTATACAAAATAAGTAAATAAAATACCTTAGGAATATGAGCTACAACATCGTAATATACTGATGTGCCAGTTATGGAATCCTGGAAGCAACGTTTTCAAGTTATAACATAGTATTAGTTTTGATTTCTTACGTTCTTTAAAATATCAAATAATTGACAAATTTTTCTTAACTTTTTGGGACAATTGTAAAAGTTACTTACGGTCCCAACCAGTTTTCTGATTAATCGTCCAGTGAATCCCGTTTTCTTATATACATGCATACAAACTCGTTTCCGTAAAACCATGTCAATTTCACAAGGACGTGATAAACGTAACGTAACCTAAACGTTGCTATCAAATTTGAGCTTACTGTAATATTTTAGGACATTTTAGAACAATGTTCGCAGCCGTGAGAACTAAAATACTATACATTTTAATAATGAGAATTTAAACCATAACCCTTTGAAAGTGCTGTACAATTATGAGCGGAGAAAATACTCACTTTTACAATAGCGTAGATGTTATCAGAACCCTCAGTAGGCTTGTTGAGGCCTAGATGTTCATGCAGAGAACTGTCCCATGAACAAGTGGCAGATACCTATAAGTTGAGCACAGTGAATATCTGTCAAAAATTTGTATTAAAAAAAGAAAAATTCATACCGGTGATTTGTATTTCCTAAAATTTTTCAAACGAAAGTAATTAAAGCCAAAAAAATATGTTCAAAACTTACTTCACCAACGCTATGTTCCAACATAGGGAGCATGACCATTCCTCCAGAATGTTCTTTTGGTAGATAGGCGTGGAAGCCGGCTATTCGAATATTGCCATCATCTGATGGAATTTCTTCGGTCACATCATCAGCTACAAAGTAAATAGCTTGAAAAATTGGATCCATACGTCTCAAATAAAGCTATATCTGTCAAATCTACAGCAAGACATTCTCCTCATATTTATAAATAGACCCAAAATAATCAACGACTGATATCCTCATGCCTTCGTTATGACTGGTTTGCTCATAAGAATAGCAATAAATTTACACTTGAATAGCTGAGATCTATGAAATACCCTCAAACACTGGAAAATGACTTACAGTTCAAGTCGAGAAATAAAACTGGAATATGCCTTTCTACTCCTGGCGGAGGTGACCTGAAAGTCAAATATTTCACTGAATTTTGTCAGAGAAATATGGCTGACAGCAAAGTAATCAGTCTGATCAGTATCACAGCAGTACAGAGTATTTATCCATCTTTATAAAATTAACTTTTGTAATTAAAACTTTTGTATCAACAACAACTTCACTGTCTTCGAAGTGTTTATTTACTCGTGTTAACTCTACATTTTTCGCACTCTTTACCCAATACCTGTTAAGGATTCTTACCATTCTGCTGGAGCTCCTGGAATGTCACTGTTAGCAGCTGGCACACTAACTGCATTGCGTTCTTCAGTTAGAGCAACCCACTGATTAATCAGCGATTGTTCACGTTCATTTTCCGTCTCTGTTTTTTTCGTTCCTTTTGATGATAACTAATACTTGCATGCATTATTTTTAAGTCTGCGAAAGTAACTTCTTAAGTTTGCAGTAAAGTAACAAATTTTTTAATAGTTGGAGATTGGAATGTGACTTACTGCATTGATATGGCTCACAAGGTAATCCTGTCTATTTGCCAAGGCCCGTGTCCACTGCTCTCTAATCCGTTCTAAATCCTTTTCCTGGTAACTATCTAAGGGCTTCTGCATCACTAGGTTCCTGATAATAACAACAGCAAGCTTAAAAATATTATTATTATTATTAGAAAACAATTATTTGCTCTAATAGAAAAATAATCCTTCCAACTATATAAATCATCAGTACCAGAAGTCTCAAATACGCAAGTTATTTCATCTTGTTTCATACGATTTTGATTCCAGATGAGACTACAAAAAATGATTGCTCGTAGTATCCTTTTACCTTGTACAAATACTTCCAATGGAAACTGAGGTAATTTGAGCAAATGCTACAGGTAAATTGCCGTGTTCTGCTACTGGTGAAACTTTAACGACTATGCGCCGTTGCTGACCCTTAAAATAAGCTTTCAACTGTATTTCCATCACTGTGTATGCCAAAGTTTGTACTAATATTGCATGCAATTGTTTTCAATTATATAAAATCATTACTATTTCTAAAAGCAGTGATTAAAATTTCTATGGTCACTTACTTTAAAGGAACTGAAAAACTTTATTTAAAAATACAACAAAAGTGTAAATTTCTATTACAGTTTTCTTCTGTTCTAATAAATATTGTCTTCTGCTTACTTGTTTTAGTTGATATATACCACCCGTAAATATATCCCGTGAAGGATGAACTTCGACTGACACATATTGACCACTGTCATTTATTTCCTTGATATCGACGTGAAGTTCAATGCGTCTTGTTACTTCAGCCCATCGTTCCTGAAAAACTTGCCAAAATTTTTTTCAGAAATGATTACTATAGCGATTAAACACTGAAAATACGTGCAAACGTATGGCATTCTTTGTAAGTTTTCTTACTAAAATAGAAAAGATATGATTATTCGTAACATTTTATCAGTAAATTTTGATGATATTATAATTGGTGATTACCGACGAGACATCCTTATCAAATGTTTACCTGCAGCGTTTTGTAACTTTGTTCAACATCGATAGTGCTACTTTTTCCTGCAGACTGCGCGGAATCATTATCAAAACCGCTACTTCGATGTCCCCAAACCTCAATTGATAGAGCATCCTCTTGAACATATTCCAGAAACTCATCAGTGACAATCACACAGAAATCCTGAAACAGTATTTTCGTAATTAGTCCAAGAACAGATTATGGTAAAGAATGCAAAGCTAAGCAACTAAAATTTGACTAAAAGTATCGCAAGTTTTTTGTTTTTTATCATTCACTTCTCTGTTACCTGCTTGCAAAATCAGTAAAACTTTTCAGATACTGATACTATGTAACCAGAAATTGAATTGATTTACAGTTCAACCACCACTACAATGACCTTCCAACTTTGACTTTGACTTCCAGTAATGCTGCAGACTGACGAGAACTCAGCAATTTTTTGTAATGGTAAAACAGTGATACGAACCTTTTCATGATCGAATTGGAAATTAGAACTATAAGGAATGTGCACATGATTGGATGGTACAGAATTCGGATCAAATGTGGGAGCCACCACCAATATTTCGTTAATATTAAAGAATGAATACTGACAGAATACAAAATGTGACAGAGATGAAGGTAGATTAGATGCTTTTTTAATGCGCACCTGCAATTTGAGTACTGAACTTACAATCTGGAAAATCAAAATATTTTTTAAAGCTTGTAAGAGACATACTCTGCATTTGATCATTTTTCCCAGAAAAGCAGTACCGATTGACTGTAAATCCATCGTTCGATTATTGGAGTCTAAAGAGTCCGAACTGCTAACAATACCTGAATCTACCATATCTAATACTCGATACACTTCAACATGTAACCGACCACTGACCTCACCCTGTAAGCCTCCCATTGTACTGAATCAAATTCCTTTTTTGAATTCACTTTTTATCATTTGCGCTATTTTTCACACTTTACGTTACTCATAATTCTTATATAATGCATTATGTACCATGTATCCATGTATGTCTTATTGTGCATTATGTAATTACTAAATACTTTTGTGCTGATTTGTAAAATATAATTCATATGTAGTAAGTATTTTGTCTCAACTTTTGTATCACTTTTGATACCATGTTACTACTTTATATCATGTTATTATAATCTCACCTGTTGACTGATAATTGGAACTTGATAATCGAGCCTCATATCGTGAAAAAGTACTTCCAGAAATACATTAGCCACACCTATTAGACTGTGATGTTCCTGAAAAACTTGATTAGCCTTGGCAAAAAAATATTCTCAATTCTTAAACTTCAATTTATTTACTAGAACTGTCTCCTCAAAAATTTATCAGCCGTAAGAAGCATTACTTGACTTTCCAGCGCATTTTCAACCATTGGGCTATAACGCTGATCCATATCGAAACTATCCTCCACAAATTGACTAGCAACCACTTGTTCTGACTTGCACGCATCATTTCTGAACAATTTTTATTGCAAAACTTGCATATAACTCTGTTTTATTCTCCAAAGATTAAGAAAACCTTATAGGAAAACGAAGAGAAAAAGCAAAACAGTAATAGTCATTTGGTGAATTCATAGTGATTGTAAAATAAATTGATATAATTTTATCTGTATGCAAGTCAAACATTTATAAACATCAATAGATCATTTTAGACCCACGAAAATGTGAGTTGATAGTTAGCGAAGTATTGATATTTCGATCAAAAACTTTAACGGTTCACAATCTGTAGTTAATTAATATCTACCTCTCAACTCCTGTAATTATTTCATTATACATTTCTCGCATATCAATTAATTTGTTTTCTAGCTGAGCTGTTGACCACAGCTGATGACCATCAATTCCTGCTCGCTTAACAACAATAAATGGTTCACAAACAAATGCTCCATCCTGAAATATTATATATTACCTTCGAAAAATGTGCAGTTTATCTAAGTCTTATATCTCGCACCACTCAAATCATAAACTGTTTATACGCTTTCAGTAAACGTCTAATCAAATTTTTCTTCGCAAATCAATTTTGGAATCTTTTTCGCTTAACTTATTTGTCCAGTACTTCTGGAACGTATTCTTCAGGTATTTTTCTAGATATTATTCACCCGTGTTCAAGACAAAAAGCATAAAAATTGCAAAAATGCCAACTTTAATTTTAGACGGTCTCAAGTTTGATGCTGGTATTTGCAAAGTAACATCGTAAGTAACAGGACGTCGACAAGGCGATAGCTCGCTAGTAATCATATTAGCTTCACGTGCTAAAGCATTCGCACGTACGATATCACTTTTTAGACGGGCCAAATTTTCTTTGAACATTTCCTCTCTGAAGATATTAAAAATTTTCTTATGCGTAACTTTTGTTTTTCAACTGTTTGCAATGCGAAATATGGAAGACTAAACAATTGAGAAAACTCGACCTTTTCTGAGCCCAATTGAAAAATTTTGATCTGACACTTGTTTTTGGATTGGGTGGAAAAGCAATGGACGGGAATTGACTTCCAGGTGTTCCCATCGGAGTCAAATAACCAATACTTGGTGTCATTGGTGTAGAAGGTGTAAAACTGTAATATATTCGAATCGAGAATGATTACAAACAAATAAATGATGATAGCGTTATGAACGATTGCTATCATTAATACCTTTGTGTCAATCCTTGGATAAATTTTTCGAATGCCTCATACTGCTGCTCTAGGGCTGCTTGTTTTTCTTCCTGCAAAATATTTTAAAAAAGAACATTGATTTTAGGGACAGTATAAGATTTGCTGACCAAAAATTTGAAATTATAAACAACCTCATGCTTCTTTGTGATCTGTTCCATGTACTGATCTACAGCTACAGTGATTGAATTCGCATTCACACGAGAATTGACCTCAATGTTATTATGAATCACATTAACTTATCAATTACTGAATGAATTAATAGGTGAATCATTAGCTAACTTCGCGTAGGCTGCTTAAAAAGATTACTTCATTAAGTGCTTATATTAATTTTGTTGCAAAACCAGCTTGAAGTGGTTCCGATCGTGCTGTTTTGCTTTTGTAACAAACCTAACCTCACTGAACGACTAAGTTAATATGCTTCTGTCATAAATATTAGCTATTTTCAAGCTTTTCGAGTCATGCTCACTTCTTGCCAGGCATCATTATAATCAAATAGTATTGCATTTGATTCTTCCATAAACGAAACATTGATGTCAATCGTTTCTTTAGGGCAGTTTACACGGAAAAAATGATTATTGCCAATCAGAAGACGATAACCGTTACGAAGACGTGTACGTTCTAATATCAGACGCCCATTCACACAAATTCTGAAAATTACTCCAAGCTCTGTAATATACACATATATCAGTTTTACTGAACTTATTGCCTTTTCTTGCCGAATAGTTTACTTCAGCATAAATCTTTTCAACAATATCCTCAGTGCATCACATAAAAATGATAACAGTAATGATAACAGAAGAACAGATAAAATGATAAAAATAGAAGTGTAGGCTCTTTGAGTACATTTCTTTACAGTAATTCGAGGTAGCTAACTACTTAGCTATGAATCTATGCGCTAATTCTGCTTTTGCAAGAAACAACCTGGCCTTTTCATCAATTCGCTCAATGAATAATCGCTGTTGCCCATTTTCTTCCACAATTTCCAACAATGCATGGCGTTGTTGAACACCAAGTCCTTGCAATACAAAGTCAACTTTTTGGTCTAATCCTGTACCGCCCTGCACTTGATGTTCCGTATTCCCAATTATGGCACGGTGCTAAAATCAATGCATATTGCATTTTACTTTTACTAAAATTTAAATTTTATTGTGAATACACAGAATATGCTCCGCTTTTACTGATAGATTGATATCACTGAAGTGAGCAAAGAAGACTTCCTATCTCTTCTTACTAAACCTTTCAAGCATTTTTAGCTACTTTTGTTATCTCATATTTATTTTTTCTCATTTACATGCTCTCATGTATCATTTTTTAAACTTTGATATTAAAAAAATATGTTTATTACTTTTATTTACAACAATTGCCGTCGCAGTATTTTATTGCCTCTCAATCTTATCTTACTCAAACTTATGAATTTATATTTTTAACACATATTTTTAACTCATCGCTGTTTATTTCCATGGACTAATTCTTGAACAAGTTTCCATTCAGCCATTTATTTTTAATTTTATTTTGATTACTTCTAAAATAATTGAGTACAGGACACAAAATAAGAATTCATTGCCGAAAAATCTACCAAATATTGTTCGTTTGCTTGATTATATACTTTCCAATGTATACTATTAACTCAGATTCACATGCATTATGCAGCAGTGATCTGACAAAGCTTTCATTAAAAAGCTACAATTAATAAACAGTTTGTAAATTCTGAATTAGTAATAAGAAAATTACATTAATATAGTATACTAATAGTTCATTGAGCGAAGGGTCAGCATTCAAGTTAACCAAATAAAAACGGTCTTTTTCCACTTTTATTCCTGACCCAGCTACCGAAATACCGATTTCCGCCAAATCCTTCTGTCTTTCCTGAAATATAATTACTTTTTAAACAATTCTCTAACTAAAGTAATCTTTAGATCAAAAGAAGATAGGCCCGGGAAATTAACTATGTGTTACATATGCAGAGCATTAAATTGATCTTAATTATCTTCTTACTGTGCACTACATTAATTTCATCTTAATTTTCAGTGATCTCAATTATCTTATATTATTCATCTTATTATCAAGATAGCCATGAATAAGTACAGTTACTTTGTAAATGGCTTCTGTATCTTTCAACCTTTCATCCCATGATTTATTCATAAGTTCCACCAATCGTTCCGATTCCGATAATCGCTCACGTAATTCCTCCGTTTCCTATTATAAATATATCTGCTACATAAATTTATGAAACAAAAAGCCAGAATCGACAATCACCTTTGATTTAAAAAATCACATTATAAGTTTCGAGCGAACTATGATACAGTAAGCCAGATAATCCATGCTAAATTATCTTGCAAAATTTGTAACCAAAACAATTATGATGAAAAAACTTATTCATACATTGTGTTCCTTTACGGTCTGTAAAATTTGCGCTCGTAAAGTTTCTACCTCTTCACGTAATTCACGTATAACTTTAGCATTAGGATCTTCGTTAATTACAGCATGGTTAACAATTTTTTTAGCTCTGTCAGCATATCTAAAATAATGAAAATCAAACCATTGAATGATTAAAACAAATAGCTTAAAAGAAATATTCATTTTTACATAGATGAGACAACTGTTTCAATCCAAATTTTACACTGACAAATATTATTTTGTCTTTTTCTACTATTTTCACCCACACCTCTTTTTAATGAGAAATACTCTTGTCTAAATATTAAGTAAACCTTAGAGTAGATAAAGTTTCTTCGTAATTGTCAGCAGCTGGCGATATTGTGGCAATCATTACTGTCCGGCTATTACCACCCAAACTGTCTTTCAATAACCTACAAAAAACCACGATCAAATTTTTAGCTTATAGACAAAATTTGTTTTCAATTTTTAAAAATTCATATTATTTGCCGAATTGAGTTATTGAAATGCTTGTTTTTTTGATTTTTTTGAAAAAAAAAGTTCGTAATTTACATATGAGTAGTTCGCAAAATGTTTAATAATATCTTAGCTCACATTTCACACAGTGTAAAAACGCAATTATTAAACGTGGAAATCGAAATTTACCAGGTTAATACTGAATCTCTGTACGGTATAAATTTGGGTTTAGATGTAGCCATAGGAAGCGAACTTTCTGACAAGGCAGAAATTACCATTCCAAGTGTTGTTAAGGATCTAAATCAGAAACAATCTTAGCACTTATGTCAGGAATTTGAATACTAAGAATGGAAAAATATCGCATCAATTAGATTCTTTTTGTCCTCAAACTTGGATTTGTGTCAAAAGTATTGAGAGAGCATAATAGGATTATTCAACTAATACTTGTTGATACTTCCGCCTTCTTCCAGTCTTTTGCCCACAGCACCACTTTTTTGTGCACGTTCACTTCCAGCCAAATCCACTAACGATATTTTGCTCATTTTTTCACCCGTAAACTGAAAAGCAAACAGTTTATACAAAGAAAAAAGTTAAATAACCGAGCAAACCAATCACTGACTCCATTTTTGAGATCTGTAAGAGCTTGTGTAAGCCGAATGTTAAATACTGCATGAGATCGACTACTTTCAGTGTTCATATTTGTGGCAGCGACTGTCCGAGATTTATTCCCTTCCTCCATTAACGATGCAATTTGCTGAAGATTGCAAAAAGTTATTCATAAATATCTTTGAATGAATTATTGAAATACAGCCAAAAATGAATGAAAGGCATTAAATGGGATGATATAAGCTAAAGCAAAGCACAAAAATATCTATAAAAACTTGATTACACTCGCCAATAGCATAGATTGGTGCAACACGAATTGTCTATTTTTGATTTACTCACTAATTTCATGCATTTTCAAAAATTTGCAAATATATAAAATAGCAAATGACAACTTCAAAGGATGAAACAGCCAGTACAGACAAGCCATCTACCGTTGGACCGAGAATTTTGTGTTCGCGAACTTTCAAATTTTTACTCATTCTGAAATCGTTTCAGAGCAGTTTTTTATAATTTGATCAATACTTTCTAGATAAATTATTTCACACTGTTTTTATCAGTGAAAAAACTCACCAAATTATCAGACAGTAAAGGTGTTGCTGATAATTATTGAGACTGGTAAGGACTTTGAAATTGAAAAACTGTTTAAAGTATTTACTTCTCTCATAAGACCATCTATAGTAATCAGCTAACTCCCATTCTATAAACTTGTACATCAATGTTTATAAAATGATAGATAGCTGATTAGACTTAGAAAACCGATGCAATTATTAGGACCGCTTGTTATAACATCTACGACTCCAGAAATTATCCATCTAATTAATATCATTCTCATACTTTATTAATTTGGTTATTTTTATTTTTACCACTTACTTTCTAGGATCCAAAAGATCGCGTACTTTTTCATTATAAATCTCCAGATAGGAAACTTCCACCTTAAACGCTAAGCTCTCAGATGACAATTCGTTAATTTTCTCAAAAATTGAACTGCATAAGCGCGGAATTATACCGGGACTCTCTGTGGTACCCATCATTGTGTAACTTTTACCTGAACCTAAAATCGAAAAATAATTTTACTAAATAGAGTTCTTTCTCGTTTATAGAAAAAACGAAAATCATCCAAGTTTTGATTTGAAAAATTCAGAAGTTCAACTGGTACCTGTTTGTCCATAAGCAAATATGCAGGCATTATAGCCAGCAAATGCGTTGGTGAGTACACCTATGCCAACTCTTCTGAATACTTCATTTTGATCTGAATCACATTTAAACATTTGTTTTTGCACAGTAAAGTTCTACACTTGGCAGCTTTTATTTGAAAAGCAAATTAATTTACCCTCTGCTTTAATTTTTCGCTGCAAAATAAGCACTTAACTTAAATGTTAGGCAATATCGGATACAAAAACAAAATCAGCTGATGCAATATGTGACATCGCTTGCTTTCATCTAAATCACCACATTGTAACTTTGCTAATATCGAAGAATGACGATCATTTCATAGTTATTAAGTATAATAATTTGATAAGGAGTAAAGAAATTACTCGATTTTAATGACTATTTCAATAAGGATCAAAAAATGTTTACTTATGAAGTTATCTGCAGTGGGATCGATGGAATTGAAGCAGTAATCGTACGCAAAACTTTTTGGTTGTTTTCTAAAAGAAAAAACTATTTCGCCTAGCGCACTGCACAAAATTTCAGTACAAACTTGGTGCTGTTATATAAATTAGTAAATAAGAAAAGAAATCTATCACGAATAAAAAATACTAAGTAAACATATGAAAAATCATTATTATTAAAGTTAAGAAATTTATGCATTAAATTGTTTGCTTATAAATGAATTACCAGAGAAGAACCTACTCTTCAATTGGATGGCTTAGAACAGTTTGATTGTCCAGCACTGATACCACGCATTTTGTGCTCAAATCTCGTTCTTGAAAACATCAACATTAAATTAAAAACGAAAAAAGGAGGTCAAATACTTAATTGCTAGGTGGCTTAGAAAATATAATTAAAGAAAAAAATAGAATAATATTATAATGAGTCTTTTTTCAATAATTAATTCAAAGAAAGCTTAGAAACCATTCTAAGGCGGTTCAAATTGGAAATAATTGAAACCACTCTGATTTCTTTAAGCAAATCATAAATATAATAAGAATTTTGTTCATCTTTTGATTGGTTAATTCTGTATAATTACAAACAGTTCAGTTGTGAGTCACCTAGATAAAAAACTGGTTCAGTTCAATGCAGAAAAAGGTCTTCGAATAGTCAGTTCTGTTATTGTTTGGAATAAATAAAATTTGAGCGGTTGATTTGCAGTAAACATTTAGACGTGATGAGTCTCATTTTTGGATTCTCGCATTGAGATGTATATTTCTATTTTAGTCTTCAGTTTCATTTAGTCATTCATAAACTTTGCATTTTAATTGGTAAAACTTTGATAATGCAAACTACTTAGCGCACCTCTTTTGTTAAATGGACGGACTCGCACGGCAACTTTCACTTTTCCTTCTTCATCCATTTTCGGTTTTAATATTCGTAAAAGGACTTATAGTTTAGCAGTAATTTGGAATTATGCCTTCAGAATCTTTCAGCTTAATAAAACCACAACAATGCATCGACTTTAGCACAATAAACAGCCAGAAAACTGAAAAAAGTTTAATAATGCATAGAAAACGCTTCTAAAATCCTTTTATTTATTTAGTATTTGTCACAGTTCCAAGAAGTGAAATCACTCTTTAGTTTTTCCTCAATATTACTATTTGTGACGTAAACAATGACATGTTTAAGAGGCAAGCAATTATTTTTTTACTTTTTTACGTGAATCCAATCCACGTAAGAAAGTAATCAATGATATTTCACTTCATGGAAAAATGTCTCAAACATCTTCCCAATATGTATAACAACTACTACTGAATAAGTGAGCTGTTATAAACGAAGAAAGTGCGAAATTTGTTGAAAAAATGCAGCTAATCAAATGGATAAAAACGAAGATGAGGATCTAAGTTTGCAGTGAATAATTAGCTGTGATAAGAAAGCGCAATGACAAAAACTAATAAGTCTGATCCCACCTTTAACCTTTGAGTTATATATGGCAACAAGTTAATTTTTATAAGTGAGTACACTAAATGAGCAGCATCAAACCAACAACATGCATTACTGATTATTAAACATTGAACATTGAGCATTTGTCATCTTGAAATATTTGCTGCATGAGTGAGTCAAAAAAACTTTGAAATTTAATTCGTAATTTCACATAAATTAGAAAGACAACCGTAAGTCATGGCTGAATCTTTCATTTCTAAATTATAAAAACAAAAAAATATTCTCTAATAATTATTTCAAGCAATCTACAAAACAAAGCATAATAATATGCTTCAAAAAATATGCTTACATATTAGTGAAAATTAATAAACATAAGAAACTGCATGCGAAACGACACTTTTTCTAAACTGAAACTATCCAAATCAGAAATGTCTGAGAACAAATGTAATTGCTGAATGTCAGAATAATATCAAAACTTTTGCAATTTTTCGAACTGCTTTTACGGGAAACAGTGAAATGGTAAACAAAGTGACGGTACTTAATATATATTCCTCAAACAGGCCACTCTTAAGTTTGATTATTTGCATTTTATGCAAATAATTATTCATGTCAGTAGGTAATTCACGATATTTAAGATTCTTGAGGCACATTCTTGCACAGTATTATTAACTGCAGTTTTTATGCAAATATCACTCACTAACAGTAACTAACAAAGATGAGGTAGAAAGCATAATTAATGCATTTATGCAGTCGAAATTGTCACGATTAAAATTGTAATCCTGAAGCTAACCAATTTTTACATTACTTATGCAAATACTTACATTTCAAGAGTGGCAAGTCTGAGTAATATATTCAGTATTATCACTGCTTCACTATTTCCGTGTTACTTGTAATAGAGGTGAGAATATGTTGAAGAAAAGTGATTCAATTAGCTCAACAATAACTGAAGCAACAAGAATAAAGATTCTGATGCTATAAAAAATAATGATAATAATTACTGCTGTTATTACCAACGCATAATATCAGAAGAAATAAATGTCGCGAAAAAAAAAGATAACAACTTTTAATTTGAAAGGAAATAAGCTAAGAATTTTCAGCTAGCAGAAAGTATAAAATTGAATCACAACAGAATACATCATCAGCACATCATTATCACTCAACATGCTGCGAGTGCATTAGCAAAGCAAAAAGTTGAACAAAAAGTGATGATAAAGCATTTTGATGGAGAAAATAATTTGCAGTGATTAGAATAAAAATTGACAGTAAAAATAAATAAGTCAATGAATAACACTGCAGAATTATATATAGAACTAAGCAAGTACATATTCCATGAAATATAATTCAAATAATTAATTCCTGCTAATCTAATTAATTAAATTATATTTGAGTCAATAAATGCATTGATATGTGCTAATGTTGGCTGAATGCTGTGAGCAAAAATAGTCATTTCAAATTAGATATTCTTCAGTTACTTATTTAGTGACGTAATTCACTTTCAACGTTAAACTCTTTATGCTTCGTTCATAACGATTAATTCTCATGTTTTTTCTTTCATGATGAATGCTTAAATAAACACGTACTTAAGTTTGAAAAAGTAGTTTGTAGGCTGGCATAGATTTTTTCAAGCGTTTTATTCGTTAGAGTAATATATATAGTGTAAATGTGAAAATATGCGCATCTTCAGTGTTTCTTCTGATTAGAAAGTAGAATAAATGAGTTGGTTGACAGATTTATTCAAATTCTGAGAAATGAATGGGAATAAATTTCAAATTATTGTTATTTATTGATGAGTCATTTGCAGCCTTCCGCTTACTTTTAACGTGAACTTAGTGCGAATCGAGCAAAAATAAAATTCAAATGCAAATCAATCGACTTCGATAAATCGATATATTCAATAAACGATAAATCGATAATCGGTTCAATAAACTCATAAAGTTAACGTATATTTAGCAATCGTGGAAGGAGATGAATTTTCCAATTATTTACTTTTTTGTGATCTTTGCTTTGAGTAATAGAATTGTCGTCAACCTTTTCTGTTTGCATATTCGAATTTGCTAGAAATTCGAAGCCTAGACGAAAATATGAATTTTGTTAGATTGATCTTACACTGAAGGACTGAAATTATTTGCGTAAGAAAAATAATATTAATATCCTTTGCACTGTTAGGTAATGTACTGAGAAAGTCACAATAAGAAAGCATTTTAAATAAACAAAAAATGTCAATAAAACCCATTGTTACATTCCAGCAAAACTTCCAAAATCATTCTTTATAAATATTTTAAAATGTAGTCCAGTATTTAAAAGATCCAAACGACCTTTTAAATATTGAATAACATTTTATAAAAAATGTTTTCAAATATAAAATTACAATAAAAGATTAAAAAGGACCTAGGAAAAATAATTTTCAAATATAGTTGTTGTTACTATTAATAATATTGACACTGTTCTTAATATTATTATCATTATTATTATTATTATTATTATTATTATTATTATTA